GGACTACATGTGAATAACTGGACTACATGTGAGTAACTGGGCTACGTGTAACTGGGCTACATGTGAGTAACTGGGCTACGTGTGAGTAACTGGGCTACATGTGAGTAACTGGACTGCATGTGAATAACTGGGCTACGTGTGAGTAACTGGGCTACATGTGAGTAACTGGACTGCATGTGAATAACTGGACTACATGTGAGTAACTGGGCTACATGTGAGTAACTGGGCTACGTGTGAGTAACTGGGCTACATGTGAGTACCCGGGCTACATGTGAATAACTGGATCACATGTGAATACCCGGGCTACATGTGAATAACAGGACTGCATGTGAATAACTGGGCTACGTGTGAGTAACTGGGTTACAAGTGAGTAACTGGGCTACACTTGAATGCCCGGGCTACATGTGAATAACAGGACTACATGTGAATAACTGGACTGCATGTGAATAACTGGACTACATTTGACTAACTGGGCTACATGTGAGTAACGGGCTACATGTGAGTAACTGGGCTACGTGTGAGTAACTGGGCTACATATGAGTAACTGGGCTACATGTGAGTAACTGGGCTACGTGTGAGTAACTGGTTCACACGTGAATAACTGGACTACATGTGAGTAACTGGGCTACGTGTGAGTAACTGGGCTACATGTGAGTACCCGGGCTACATGTGAATAACTGGGCTACATGTGAGTGACTGGGCTACGTGTGAGTAACTGGATCACATGTGAATAACTGGACTACATGTGAGTAACTGGGCTACATGTGAGTACCCGGGCTACATGTGAATAACTGGATCACATGTGAATACCCGGGCTACATGTGAATAACAGGACTGCATGTGAATAACTGGGCTACGTGTGAGTAACTGGGTTACAAGTGAGTAACTGGGCTACACTTGAATACCCGGGCTACATGTGAATAACAGGACTACATGTGAATAACTGGACTGCATGCGAATAACTGGACTGCATGTGAGTAACTGGGCTACGTGTGAGTAACTGGGCTACATGTGAGTAACTGGGCTACGTGTGAGTAACTGGGCTACGTGTGAGTAACTGGGCTACATGTGAGTAACTGGACTACATGTGAGTAACTGGGCTACGTGTGAGTAACTGGACTACGTGTGAGTGTGTATTATAGGTACACTGTGGAATAACAGATTAGTTGTGTTGTTTTTACTTACAATCATAGTGGTGTGTATTAGCACATTTTGACATCCACAGACCGGGATTATGTGGTGTCATTAAACCGGTAGCAAATGTAGCTGGAAACAACCCAATGGTATCAGTCGTATGATGTGCGTAATTCTAATGGGAAAAATATCGAAAATATGAACCAGAATTATATTATACCGGTCTTTCAATTGCCTGAATACGTCGTTCTGATTGGATGACAGTGTGTTTTTAATTATGCAAGCCAAGTCGATATACCACAATTATGGGCAACATAAATTGTTTGTTTGTTTGTTTGAAGCGCGGTGGTCGTCGCGCAGCGCGGGTTCGAATTTCATGTAAATAAACAATGTATTTTACACGCGTTTATTACGTCGTTATGAGTCCCATATCGAACAGGACGCGACACGACGACTGCCGCCTTTTAACGTCCGCAATCAGTAACTCGAACTTTACGCGTTTGTGAGGTTTGAACAACAAAATAAATCTAGATTGTCTTGGGAACTTCAACAAAATCTATTTCGTAACTCGATGTTTTTGAAACTTGGAAAGTTCAGCATCTCGACACATAAACAGCGATATTTATAAAATTACAGTAAATTTCTTACCATATTCTCGCCGTGGAAGTAAATTGGATGGAAGTCAACTTCAGTTCCCATACCGATCAAATGCCAACTTATATTCATTCCAGCACATGTTTTCAAAGATGGCATATTGCCGTACATGTAACCATTGATACTATACATATTATTACTTTTTATGAAGTTTTCGTCATCTGAAACATGTAAAGATTGTGATAAAATATATGTATTATTTATCAATCGATTGATCCCTCTGTTCTGCGACCCAGAAAGTTAAGTGATACGCTGTTACCTCTATAATCATGGATTACAAAATGATGGTATCGTACATAGTAATACGTAACGATGATTCGAAATGCTGTATTGTTCGAGTTAAAAACAGCGAGTTACAAAAATAACCACGCCTACTTTGCGGGAAACCACGCCGAAATTGTGACTTGTGGGCAACGTACATTTTTGTTTCTGCTTGAACGTTTCCTGTAACTCGAAGTTTGGTTTATTAAAACTCGACTCACTAAATTTGAACGTTAAACAAAACAACAAATCTATGTTTTCCGTAAGTCGAAGTTCGGTTAACTTTCCGTTAAAGTTCGAGTTATTAAAATGTGAAAGTTCAACAAAAACTAAAAAACATATATTGCCCATAACTCGAAGCTCCGTTAACTGTTAATTGAACATCGGGTTATAATTCAAGTGTGGCTTCTCAAAAATGGGTGTGGTTTCTAACATATGGGCGTGGTCAATTTTATAACTCGATGTCCAAAAACTCGAACAATTCAATATCTCCGAAGACTCCTTTCTACAAATGACAGATTGTGTAATATTACCGGGGTTAAGTCTCACAATGGTCAAAATGTTTTCAAAAAATGGGCGGGGAGACGTTTTATTTTATTAGTTTATTTAGTTTGTTGAAATGTTTGACGTCGTTCACATTTGGCAAGGACGCTGTCGACCAAGTCGAAATAGGTGGTGAGCACGTCTTTTATACAAAAGCAACCACTGCTAATATACGCGCTACAAATCGTCCAGGGCACTAGAAAAAAAACATTGTGATACGTAACTACTTTTGGGAATATTTCTTTGTGATTATGAAAAAAAACAACACATTTATCATATTTACATAAGCTTCCAATTTGTCTTCTGAAGAAAGACCAATTCACTGTTAGCATGGCAACCCAATCACAACTCTGCTAAAATCTAAACTATTGGATTTTGTGTCCAGGACAACCCTTTCTGATAAGTTCACAAAAAAACATTTATAACTGAAAAGCATTATCGGAAGTGCTTTTTTTACGTACAATTCTACTAAAATTAAATTAGTTCGCCCTATTGTCACGGGCAACCTTTCTTTCGATTTGTAAGAAAACTGATCTATAACTATATCCTGAATGTCTACCTATATGAACACAAATATTGGTTTAAATATCAGGAATATGTTTACCAGGATTGACGCTTTCTGGAACCAGGCAGTACGTTTCTATGTTTTCATCCAAATACCAACTTTGGTTCTCATCCATCATGGTGAGCAACAATGTAAAATCATGGTCAACATCTAAACGATTACCCTCGGCATCCAGCGTATCTGAGCAACAATGTAAAATCATGATCAACATCTAAACGATTACCCTCGGCATCCAGCGTATCTGAGCAACAATGTAAAATCATGATCAACATCTAAACGATTACCCTCGGCATCCAGCGTATCTGAACAACATTGTACATAAAAATGTAAGTAATTGAAGATATGATCCAAGAAAATCGAAATAATGAACCTTAGATGGTCGCCAAAATCTCGTTGAAAGAGAGCCATGAGACTTGTTTCTGTCCGTTGTACAGTGTTTCATTTGTTTCTGTTATCACATTCACTAATTTCCTGATCTATGTAACCATAGTATTAGGAACAGTTGGACGTTATGAAGGGAGAGAATGGATTGCTATTTAAAAGGCAAAAATCATTCTCGTGACTTTCGCTCCGAACGAGATTTCGGCAGCCATTTGTATGTATAATCTACAGATACATGGTCAAATAGCATACGAACTTGATACATATAGCCGATAAATCAAAACAGTTCTGGTTTTGTATGCAATATTCATCATTATGAGACGTGAATTAATATGCCTACTTGGCTTGCATGTCAGAAGCGCTCCATACAGCCCTGCGTTTGCGTCTTTGGGTTCATCGAAGTGGGAATGGTAAGCCCATGTCAAGCAATTTGGATCATCCTCCTGTGGCGCTGAATGGCCGTCCACGATCCATTCATACAAATGAGTCTCACCGGGCAGTACGTTGTCATCGGCCTTATCTGCTCCCTTAGTGTTGTCGTGATATATTGCACCTGTGACAAAATATGTGCTAGTCATTACAATTGTCCTATTTGGTAAACATCACAAACAGATCTAGATATAATCACTATTGTTCTGATAATCTATTACACAATGGAAGCAAATACTGTTATAATTGCATGTATAATTTGTCGAGTCTCATAGTAATTGTCCAAATAATTAGTAATTAAATAAGATACATTTCGAATGCATATTACATGGCGGCGGTTGTCGCGCCATGCATGTGCAATATTATGAGGTTATTACGAGGATACCTCAAAGTATGCACGAAGACAATACAGCGGGAGTATCGACCGACGACACACGAATATGTCTACCTGCAATATGCGAATCTGATTGGCTGTCATGGTCATGAGGTATAATAATACTCAATAGCATACATACATACATTTTTTGCTGGAAAAATTCACACAGTAAATGTTACTTTTAGCTACGGATTTTAGTGACAGTGCTTCAGCATTGTGAATCACTCAATTTATCGAGTATAACATTATTAAAATGAATTGAGAAATTCTCAAACGCAAGCTATTTCACCACTCGACAGATACAAATGTCAGAGTGCGTAGAAGTAACTGCAATGACTTTCTCACGAACGCCAGCGTACCTCATCTTTTACTCACAAGTATTAAGTATTATTGTGTAATTATTATTCTATTGTTGTTTCAACATTTCGTCGTTGTTGAGTGATTTGTACATCATTATTGTTTCATTATTATGCCACCACATTGTCTTTATTTTACAATATTATTTCATTATTTGATTTATTTATTTATTTATTTATTTATTTATTTATTTATTTATTTATTTATTTATTTATTTATTTATTTATTTATTTATTTAGAGACCTCTTTTTCTTTACTTATACTGAACTATTTCGTAATTTGACTTTTTGTGTGAGAAAGTCTATGGCAGAGCCTGTAATTTCGTAGATACATGCAATTCGTATATACTTTGAAACGGAGCCAAATGCGAGGTCAGAATACATCGCTTGCTAGGTATGCGAAGTTATATTAATGTCTTTTCTGTGATTTTAGCAGCCGATCCTAAACATGTGTAGTCTTAAGTTGTGCAATACAAACGATTACGTTTATGACAACGCAGTGATTAATTCAGTATGGTGGACTACGGACCTTATATTTTATCGGTGTATCGTACAATGCTGATAACAGGTGGGTCAATGCAGTATAGGAGTGTTTTACGTGAACTTTTCAACCCATCAACCCAACCACCCTACACATTTGTGGTAGACACACACAATGCTACAAGAAAATCATACCACCTTAAATGGTATTGATCCGCCATCAGTTAGAATTATATTAAAAGACATAAAGGTCACACATGTTATGTAATTCCTTTTCTTTTCAACAATTATCATTGTAAGATATGTCTTACTGTTATAAATAAACCATATATTTATGAGTTAGATATTAGTGAACACAATATGGTTAGTGCTTGGTCAACCTTTTCATTACGTGTAGCTATGCAAACACTGACAATAGTACAATAGGGTTTAATTTACACGGCGTCATATTTGTATGTAAAACGTGTATTTGTGTCCGGAAGTTTGTAATATCTGATTGGGATGAGTGGTTAGCAATCATGATTGTACACTATCTCAACGCACTAGTCAAACAACGAAACGTATAACTTGCTCATATCAAGGAGGCAAACGTTACGGAACCTTTCCATGGAAGTTGACACCCTAATTGACAACCAACACTCGGAAGGAGAGCGTAATGAGTTGTTTCTGAATAATGCACAATTTCGAGAAATTTAATTGAGCATTTGCTTCACTCCTCGCACTCCAGCGACAACAATGGGACGTTTAAAACAGGGTGTACTCGGGGTCATCATGCTGATAACACAAATTTGACATGCTGATAATAGGGTGACCCAAACTACGAACGCAAACGTGTTCGTACCTTCAGAATCTTTGGTATACATCACTCCATGTGGATGCATTGAATAACCTCGTCCGCATTGGTTGTTAAAATAAACATGGATTTCATCACCGACCTCGCCCTTCAGGACCGGCCCTAAAGCTCCCAACCAACCAGGAACTGGTTTTTGCACGGTGAACGTATCGTCGGTGAACTCTCGGTATAAAGCCTTTTTGTACTTTGCTCCGATGCGATCAGTGTCCGTCACCATATTTCGCCTTGCGTATCTGAAACAATTTCGTACGCATAATTGTCACAGTGGAGCTGTATTACTTTTATAACACGTGTAAGCATAGAATATAGAATAGACTATTTGAGTTATGATGGACGACACGAGATAAAATATCGAGCTGCAAAAGTCCTGTAATAGAGCATTTTGACTGATGGAGAAAAACGTTAGGCAATAGTTAATCTGTGTCAAAAACGTGTCAGACAGAATTATAAGAATCACTTACTCGTCCTCCTCCAGTGGTAAACCAGTGAACACGTTGAGTCCCGTCGGAGCATAGTTCCAGTGTTCCTCAACACACGCAATGTAATGTGTTCTGATGATAGCTTGAGACGCACGACATAATGCAAGGAACAGTAAAGCTGATACCGTGGTAGACGACATCTTACCTCACACACGCAGACAGTACTGGGAGGAACTAATAGACGTAGACTGTTGAACTATTATCCTCTACGATAACGGTCAATTACCAATCAGATAAGTTAACTAAGTAGTCCTTTGTGTTTTATCAGTCTGGTTTAGACTCAGCAAAGATTATGTTAGGCTATTCGGCGCAACGGCCAAAACATGATATTCACCTGTTCACACCTTTACACAAAGAACTAGCTCGGAGCAAGACTTTGTTGGTAATAGCAATACGACATTATTAACCAAGACGCTGTCGAGGTGGATGCGCTACATTTTTTTTCTAACTTATGTTTTGGTTAAATTGTTTAATAATTGAATGTTTTAATTAGTGTTATAATTATTATGAAAATAGTTAAAAGTGTAACCAAATGTGTGTGTCAAGTGACTCAAAAATATAAAGACGCCAAAGATGTACTTTCACTCTTGTGTGGGTTTGTACATTTGTTGGTTTTGGCAGTGCTTCTGTATTGTCTTTGTCATTTTTCAGTCCATGCCCAGACACTACATGTTCCAAGTATTTAACTCGATCGCAAACAATAAGACCGAATGAAGTAAAAAAAAATGATGTACTCATTAAACCAAACAATGTAGCTGTGTTTGCCATCTGTTAAAATCCACTCGTAAGGTTGATGATGGAAAACTTTTTGGCGCCTTTTAACAGATCCACTACTCTTCAATCGTTGGTAGTGCATATGCATCTGGGATTGTCTGTCTGTCTATCTATAGAGTTTCCTATAGAGTTTCCTGTAGTCAACACACATTCATGACTCCAACATACTCTTAATTTGGTCAAGACTTCCTGATACAGAGCATTAGGTATACTTCTCTATGGATCTTACACTGGGTTTTTGTTGCCTAAAGTGCCTGTGAAATGCCCACCCTCGCGTTTCCCATTTTAGATCTGTATCCCACTGAAATGGACAGTTATTAATTTTGTTAATTAATTATGCACAAATTGACCAATTTAAACAGAATGTCAATTTATTTCTCTATTTTATTGATCACTATAGTTTAATGTTTAGAATGTCAAAATATGTTCTCAGACGTTCGATGATATAAAACAGTGTAGTTACATGCCTAGTAAACTGCTAAATAACGAGACAATTCAGGCGTTAAATTCGATCTCGACAAACACGGCGATGATCGACATATGTGTAGTAGAGTTCCTTGGAAATAGAAGTCGACACTTTGACTGACTACCATATAAGTAATTGCGTAGTCCAGAGCAAACCCGTTGTAGCCCTTTCTAACGTAATGCACTTATTTGTTTTAATTTGAAATTCGTGAATATAGTTTATATACTATTACTCATTATCTTGAAGCATATGTTAACGGGTAGTCTAACATTTCAGGTTATCGAGACACGCCCCGTTAGCTGTCTAACAGATGTAATTAGTACAAGATCGATAAAGTCACATCATATCACCTTCATAACAATGTTGTTTTTCAATATTTCCTTAAGATTTTCAAACCTATTTATTGTCACCGCAATATTGTGCATAAAACAGATTGCCAGCTAAGTTGCTGACTGCTTTGGTGTGCGCGTCTGAAGATCGTTATCTTACCTTACCCCTTTGGATCAATGGATGGATTTCCGCTGCGACATTTAGCCAATTTACTATACACGGCATAGTCGAAACATCGGGAAAACAGGACAAACACGCGCCTTGAAGTCTATCGGTCGCTCACGCACAAAAGCGATCACCGAAGTAGTGAGATTTACTTAGTTTTTGAAGGCCAACAAAGCATCCATGTCAGCTATCGAAGTGAAAGGAAAGCTGTTGGATGAGGGTGTTTGTACGCCCAAAACACTGCCATCATATAAAAAAATTACATATTCCGAAAGAATAGCTGACGGAACATAACATGGGCAGAATCATGAATCATATCGACATGATTTCTTAATTTGACCCTCTCCGTGTTCATTTTTTTGATGAGGCGGGATTGAACGCACGGCGAGCAATTGTGTCTATGGAAATGTTCCAGTCGGTCAGCCGGCAGTGGAAGTGCAAAGATACACATCCAGCATAAATTATACCGTGAATGTATTGCATATGAGGAGGCACTGAATGAAGAAGTAGTAGATGGTCAGCCGTTTATTGGAGAAGGCGACACTGTTGTGATGGACAATTGTGGTTTTCACCGAACCCGTTCTCCGCGAGATGTTCGATGCCATACAAGTCACTCTCTTGTTTCAGCCTCCATTATAGCCCACAATTTAATACCTGCGAGCTTTGTTTTCGGCATCTAAAACGAGAATTGCAAAGAAATGACGTATTTGGTAATCGGTTCACTGAACTCGCTATTCTGAATGCCCTGGACATGATCACGCCAGAACTTTTTAGAGATTTCTTCCGACATTGCGGATTATAAATATAGTCCGCTATGTACTAAGAGAACCTAAACAAAGTGGTGTTGCTGCCGGTTCACAACACAGTTAGATATGTGGCGCCCTCTAGTGGCCCTTTCGTTTTTTCAAAGTTGACCTTTTACCTTTTGAAAAGTTTTCACGTTACCGCGGCATTTGATTTGACTCGTCACTAACGCTCAATTCATCGTTCAATTCACGCTATTCCATGGCCAAGACACAAACGTAAGTGTGACCACTACATCATCCAAGAGAGATATACTGTTCTATAGTATAATATTTATATTTATGACACTTTCCACACTGTGGACTACTTTCCTATTGTCAAGCGTGTAAATAATAACAGGAAAACAATCATAGGGCTCTGCAAATGAAGTACCTGGCAATTAACAAAAATGTGTAATAATATTTTTTGTATCTAACCTTTGCCTGAGCTAACTTAGCTTGAGCCAATTTACACGTCTCTTGAAATCGATTTCGCAAATCCAGGACATACTGGTATGTAGTTTTAACCTCTGGTGTAGTGGTCTCCATTGTCCACAACTCTCTTAAAATTATCATTAGGCCAGTTATTGTTCTACCATAAATAAGATTGAAGGGTGAAAACCCTAAACTCTCCTGAGGAGCTTCTCTATAGGCAAACAATACTGAGTCAAGATACCTATCCCAATCCTTGGGCCGTTCTTGACACATACGTTTCAACATACTTTTCAAAGTAGCATTAAACCGCTCAACCAAACCACTACATGCTGGGTGATATGGAGTAGTTACTAATTGTTTAATAGACAACACTCTACTCACTTCCTTCATAATGTCAGATAAAAACTGTGTCCCTAAATCAGTTAAAACTTATTTGGGTACACCAACCCTACTATATATACTGACTAATGCATCAGCAACCACTTCAGAAGTAATTTTCTTTAATGCCACAGTACAGCCTCAGGGTATCGTGAAGCATAGTCTACAACAGTTAAAATGTACCTATGACCTCTCTCAGTCCCGGGACTGATCGGACCAATCAGATCCATAGCTATCATCTGAAATGGAACTTCAATCAAAGGCATATCGCCCAATGGTACTTTGCTAACACGACCCCTAGGAGTGGTCTTCTGGCATATATCACATGACCTGCAATATCTAATAACATCGTCCTGCATACCAGGTCAATAAAACTGAGGTGTTATTCCATCTGTAGTCTTCTTAGCACCAAGATGACCTACCACAACTGATTCATGAGCAAGTATTAGTACTTGATCAGGGTAACACAATGGTACAACAAATTGAGAACACACACGTCCTCTATCAACATGAGGTGACTGAAACTCTCTGTACATCAGTCCCTTGTTCATCACAAACCTTGTCCGATTGTTACGACCTGTGATCAACTCCTCACCTGTACTCACTCATTTCTTAGCACACTCTAATGTGGAATCAGACTGCTGTGCCTCTCGCACTGCATCCACAGTAATATGTTTCTTACCACCATTAGTATCAACCTTATTATGCAATTCCTTAAACTCAGGAACTATAAGCCTACGTAATGGCTTCTTCTCAGCTAACTTCTGAGCTCTAGTCTGTACCACCTGTACAACATCAACACTATCATCCTGACTGGAATCAATGTAGGGTTCACAACCACTCCCACTAACTGAAGGTTCTCTTATCTCACAACCTGGAGAACAACCTTCATCCATATAAGGCACACTAGCCTGACTACTAGTAGATGTACAACCTTCATTACCTGAGGGAACACTAGTCTCAATACCCGAAGGACAACAACCTTCACCCCAGAGGGCACGCTAGTCCCATCATTCGAAGGAGTACTATGTTCACCACCCGAGGGCGAACTAACCTCACCATGCCTATCTCATGAGCTAAACCTAGCTTCCAACCAATATCAGGATCCTTGGGCTCCCTAGCTCCACTAATATTACCAACAATAAGATCATACTCTGGGGTCCTCATACACAGTGCCTCGACCTCACCAATATAGTAGGGTGTATCTATATATAGTCTAGCTACTGGGGCTTTCCGACATGTACCATCCATCATTACACAGGTACGACTCTCCCCAGTCAATTGACTAACCTCTACCAACTCTCTACGTACTACAACCAAACTACACCCACGATCACGCAGGACCTCTATTTCAGTACTGCCAATAAAGCCTTGAACAGGCATACCACTCACCATCCTATTAACTGGTGCAACACTGGCAATTGGCAGCTCATGGTCACATTTCAACTCAACTCTATCTCGTCCCTGTAAACATGGATGCCTACTTTCATCTGCAATTTCATGAACTACACATGTAGCACTGACTTCCTGTGAATCGCTTTGGACAACTAACAGCAGCGTGACTTGGATCACCACAAACATAACAGCCTGGCTTAGACTGACCAAATCTACCCTGTTCTTTACCTTTCTGACTTGTGTTCCAGGGCTGTCCTTTCTGATATAGACTACCACCTTGAAACTGACTGGATTTCAGATTTTTACTACCTGTCTGTCTACGTGCATCTCTAGACTTATCAGCTAATTCAGCCATTTCCTTAACTGGCTTGGGTGACCTTTCACCTATGAAAATAGGCAACTCATTACCAAAAGT